GGACGGTGTCGGCAAAAGAGAGTGAGAGAGCCCCGAGATTCTTTCTGATCACCAGGCAGGCATCTCTGTCCTGTCGGTTTTTTGTGTCTTTATTTAAAGGTTCAGCAACAACATGAAGTCAGAGAAAGGAATTTCTACAATGGGAGGCCTTTTGCGATAACAAGTTTTTGATATTTTGCAGAATTATCTCAGTCATAGTGAATTTACAACCAAGGAATTAACAGGATGCTCTTAGTGATCAACAGGATAATATATGTTAGGTTGTATATAGATAAGCTAGGAGTCATTCTGTCTATCAAGAGGATGAATGTTTCTGAATTGGTTTGTGTGTGGAAGTCTTCATGGGGGCCCTAAATGTGTCCATCTTTGCACCTGGGTTTATGTTTTAGCTACTCTTATCTATCCTCATCCCAGTTGCCAGTGTAAGGGAGGGTGTTTGTGGAATGTAGGCCTTGAGGAAGGGACTGCCATACATCACCAATTAGTTAGTTATGTTCTGTACTTATCTGTACTTTAACTATAATTTAGGCTCTTCTGATATGGGACCAGGCTCAATAGTTACTCTTGTGTTCTTAACCCTCTTTATTATCTAAGTCTTGGATCTGCAAGGCCCATAGGAAGAGCCTTTTGACAATCACCCATAGAGCTTTCATCTAAAGTCTCTTTTGTAAAGGCAGGAATATGCTTTTCCTTATGAGGTATCTGTATTCAGAATATGGGTCTGATATGGAATATTGGGAGGCCTAGTCAATACCAGCAGGCTCATTTCCAACATGAGCCAGTAGTAGCAGAAGGAGATATTAGTCTTCATTTCTCATGGCAGAAGCTGTGCAAACATTGCCATTTCCTTGCTGTGACTGCCATCCAGAGAGGCCGGTGCGGCTCCTGGCAAATAGTAACCATCACAGCACTGTATTTGGCTCTGAAAATACAGAGGTAGATAAGGAAGGGTCTCTCATCTTGTGTGTGTGGTGGGGGAGCTCCCAGCAGAGTGGGGAGGAGGGCTGACAATTATAAAAAGATTTTTAAGGTTTTTATTTATTATTGAGAGACAGAGAGAGACAGAGCATGTGCATGGGAGGAGCAGAGGGAGGGGAAGACAGAATCTGAAGGAGGCTGCAGGTTCTGAGCTATCAGCACAGACCCCAACTCTGGGGTCAAACTCACAAACCTTGTGATCTCAACCTAAGCTTTGCAAAGTTGGAAGCTTAACGGACTGAGCCACCCAGGCTCCCTGGAGGGCTGACAATTATAATACAGTGCAATGCTCATTAGTACAGAGAGAAGTGCCTGAGGATATGGGGGTACAGGCCAAGGGTACCCAGCCTGGCCAGGGATAAGGGAGCAGCAAGGAGCAGGATTTCCTGGAGGAGATGATGTTTGAGTTGAGTCTTAAAGTGTGGGTAGGAGCTTATGTGGAGAACTGGATGTTGGAAAGCTGCTCCAGGCAGAAAGATCAGTGTGGGGGAAGGCCTGGGCGAGGAAACAGTCATGGGTGGTGGTGGGAACAATAAGCCATTTGGGAGTATCGCTCCCAGAAGAAAGTGTAGGACTGTGTGTGGCTGGCAGTCAGAGAAGACTCTGATGCTGTACTAAGGATTTGGGACTTTGTATTAAGGGTTCCAGGGAGTCCATGAAAAGTTTCAAACCTGGAACACATTTTGTTTTTAGCTAAATCACTCTGGTAAACAGAGTGAAGGAAGTGCAAGCAGAGATGTGAAACAAAAGACCTCTTTCCTCCCTTGGGCAAAGAGATGGGGACAATGGAAGAAGTCAGAACAGAGTCCCTGGGGCTTTGATCTCAATCAGCATTGAATGCTACAACTTGAAGCCTGGAGGAGGCTTAGGTACCTTTGAGAGTCTTTAGGATTCTTGTTAACAAGAAAACTGCAGGGCCAAAATGGAGCCACTTAGGCTAAGTCCCCAAACCTGGGCTTAATACCTAACCTAACTGTGGTTCCAACCTTCCCAGGAAATCTCAGCAATATTCTGGTCAGTACCAATGAGGTGATCTGTTACAAGGACCCTGTCTATCTGGCCCCCAAAGCAAGATGAGTTAATCCACCCAAATAGATCCTCTGCATCCCACCCACCCACCCCACAAGGAACGGTGCCCTTGAATAGAATAATCCTTTCTTCATTTCTGTCTCTCTCATAATAACTTCCTTGCCCTTACCTCCTTCCTATAAAAATCCTTTCATCTTGTACAACTCCTTGGAGCTCCTCTCTACTTGCTCTATGGGATGCTGCTTGATTTGTCAAGTGCTTAATAAAGCCAATTAGATCTTCAAATTTACTCAGCTGAATTCTGTTCTTTGACATTCTAGTAAGAGATTGAGAAGAGTTGCTTTTACTCAACCTCAGGAGTAGATACAGAGATTTTGCAGAGATTTCTTATTTAGAATCTGGTGAGAATGTATCCTAGAGAAAACTATGCACGTGAACTCAACATTCATGTTCTAGGATGATGTTCATAAGCGCCTTGTTACAGAGAGCCCCAAAGTGAGGGGTACCTGGGGGGCTCATGACTTTGAGTCCTGCATTATGTTCTGTGTTGACAGTTCAGAACCTGGAAATCTGCTTGGAATTCTGTCTCTCTCTCTGCCCCTTCCCCACTTGTGGTCTCTCTCAAAAACAAATAAACTTTAAAAATATTTTTTAAAAAGTCCCAAAGTAGAAACAGCCTAAATATTCTCCATCAGTAGCCTGGATAAATACATTGCATGTTCATGTAATAATATAGTATATACTCGGTTACATGAAATTATTACATGAATATAGTAATATATATGAATATCACATGAATATAGCAGTGAAAATAAACATAAGAGAGCTAATGAAACTACAAAGATGAATCTAAAGTACATGATATTGAGCAAAAGAAGCAAGAAACAAACAACATGTGCATAGATATGATTCCATTTAGATAAGACTTAAAATTAAGCAAAATGAAATGATACTGTTGAAGGATGTACCTATACATTGTAAAGCTACAAAGGAAGGCGAGAAATGCTTACCTCAAAATCCTGGGGAGTCTTGGTTTGGAAACTGGCCTCAGTACACCAAAGACACGGAGAGCTGAAGGAAAAGGCATGCCACTCCACATGGGTGGGTGACAGGGTTGATAAGCAAGGGAAATTACACATGCCTGTGACTGAGTGGATCTTGGAACCTGCCTGACAGAATCTTACTGGTTTATATAGAGGCTTCACTATTCATTCCTGTATATTCTGTAGAGGGTCTCCACAATCCTTACCCTCTCAAGGCTATGTCCTTGGACTGGCTGCTGGCTCGGGAATGGTGGCTGGAGCATACATTGCAAGGACAGAGGAGGGGATAGGGAACCTCTGATTACCTGGGTTCAGCTTGCAGGTCAACCAGAGGTCATGTCCTCTCCATGACCTCTTCTAATGGCAACTCAGCTATTTAAAGTAGGCAAAGACATCTAGACATCACCTGGGGGCAGTTCCATCAATTCCAAGGTGCGATGCCTAAGAACCTCTCAAAGGTTGGCCCTGAAAGTTTGAACTTCTGAAGTGATGACAGATTCAGAGCCATAAAAGGAAGACTCATGTTTGCTTGCCCCACATCTTGGAAGCGGGTACAAAATCATCCCCCTTTTCAGAACCACTGCTCTAGAACAAGGTTATTCAATAGAAATATACTTGGGGCACCTGGGTGCCTCAGTCAGTTAAGTGTCTGAACACCCCAGACTCTTGCGGGAAGGTGTCTGTGACCTATTCTTCAACCAGGCCATCGCCCTAGGCTCCTGGGCCCCCTGCTCACTGAGAGGCGCCTCAGTGGGGTGCGGTGGGCGTGAGCAGGCAGGAAAGCAGAGGTTGGGAGTCTGGTATTCTGCACCCAGCCCTGGCTTTCCCATTTGCTGACCTTGTGACCTTGGGACAAAGCCCTTAACCTCTCTGAGCCTCGGCTTCCTGGACCTTGGCAGGTCTGCTGGAATAGTCCTTTCCCATTCTGATTTCATGCCTAGAAATATCCCAATCGCTCTGCATGATCCCAACAGCAGAAACTCCGTTGTGTGTCCCTGTCGTACATGTTCCTTTCCTCCCGTGGTTTTACACCAACGGTCTTGTGTAAGAGAGCTTAGTAAGTTCATCAACACAGCCTGTAAGTATTTTTGGAGTGTTTCTCATGCTTCTCACTGCTGTAGGTGCAGGGAGACACTGCGGGAGTCAACGCCCCTTTCTGCTCTGGAGTTTACAGTTTCAATGGGTGCAGACGGGCAAAAACCAAACATATAAAACAGTGTCAGATGGACAGGGAGTCTGGCAGCCTATTTTAGGAAGGCACTACCTGCAATGGTTAGAACGTAGACCCAGGAGTCACATTTCTTGGGTCAAATGCCATCTGTGTAGTGCCCCTTGTTGCACTACTGTGAGCACTTGCTTTGGGCCTCAGTTTCTGCCCCTGTTGTGTGGGGCTGGTAATATCACCTGGAGACAGAGTTAAATGAGATCACTCAAGTGATTTAGCAACTATTCCCAGATTGTCTGCAAGATGCTAGGCACTGCTTTGAGCATCTGTGAGGAAGGAGGTGATTTTAGAAAGGACAAGCTTAGTGGCTATGATGTAAGCATCAAATACATGTCAGCTATCATTAGCTCTCACACACCAATGCATGTGTTTGTAGAGGTTCACACAGCGGTGGTGGGTGTGGCTGGACAGACATGCCACACTACCCTATTTGGGGAATCTCATTCTGATAAATCTGATGAATTTAGACTAGAGAATCTCACACCTTGTCCAGGTGGGTTTGGAACAGAATACAGCCCCTAATTCCACGAGTTTCATAGGACTGGCATCATCCTGGATATGCTGGATCAGTGTCTGCCTGGTTCCTTTTTTGCTGGAACTGGGTCATTCTATGCTAGTCTTTCGGAAGACAGTAGGTGACATTTGTCTCAGAGAAGGCATTACTAGCCAAGCTCCTTGTCATTCTAAGAAAACTTCCAATAGAGTCCAATAACCACCTCCCCACCATGCTTTTTCAGGTAAGGAGAATGCACTATGTCATTCATATGTGGCCCAACTTTATGGTGCTTTGAAAATGCACCGAGAAGCCCCTGACTGAAACCCAGTGGAGGGTGGGGGTGGTGGGGACATCAGTTCCCTGCAAATCACCCCTCCACCTGCCAAGTGTGTACTTAGTGAATGTAATTAAAACAACACAACGCAGGGGCGTGTGGAGATCTAAATCAGTGTAGTAGCTTCGGTGCAAATCCTGCCTTGGGGGCCATTGGAGTGAAATTCAAGCAGAGGAAAGAAGTGGGAGAACTGAGAGAGGGCCGAAGGGCGGCTGCGTGGAGAGGGCAGATTGGGAAATGCTGACGGGCGAGGGGCAGCTCGAGGCCAAGGAAGCAAGGCCAGACTGCGCCCCATCGGGTGAGGATGTCTGGGGGATTTCCTGAGCACACAGGCCAGGCGTCTCCGGAGACCCAGGAGAGGGCTCCAGACGCGAGAGGGTGGCTGAGGCTAGGTGTCCAGGCCTTGCGCTGAGCCAGGTCTTGGCGAGCAGTGGCGCTGCTGAGGTGTGCCCTCCTGTGGGACGCGGGGAATGCCGCGGGGTCCTGCAGGGACAGAAAACGGCAGGTCCTGGGGCCTAGGAGAGTCCCAAGGACAGTGGGACTTGCCCCTGCCTTGGCCGGGTCTGCTGCCTCTCCCTACCCCTGTGCGTCTTTGATTTAGTTCATCCTCCCATGGCCCTCTCCCGGGGGTGCTTATCCCAGGGCCAGTGGCTTGCCACCCCGCCTTCCCGGCTCAGCCCTGGTTCTAGGCAAGTCCCAGGGTGTAGAATCATCCTGGATGTCCGCCTGGCTGGGGAATGCAGTCGGGGGAGGGGAGGGGGAGGGGCGATCCTGATGAGACTCTGCCCCAGTCGGACACGGAGTGGAGGCCACTGAGAGTGTCCCTAAGTCCCCCCTTCCCTGCAGGGCAGATTGCCGCAGCAACTCCTGGGCACACAGGCCTGCAAACGCGAGGGGCGGAGCCGCGCCTGCGCGGGAACAGGTCCGAGCCACGCCTGCCGCCGGGAGAGGGCGCGGGAAGCCCCGCAGCCGCGCTCCACGTGCCGGAAGTCCGAGCGGGGCCTTCCGCCCAGGGGGCCGCCGCAGTGCCCTCCTCCCCGCCCGCCGGCCCAGCTCAGCGCCGCGCGCCCCCCAGCTCGTCCCGGCCCGAGTCACCCCTGCCGCGCCCCCGCCCCTCTCGGGCCCGCCCCCCTCCTGCCCTCCCTTCATTCCACAGTGCGGCCTCGCTGTCCGCAGCGCACCTGGAGAGCCGGGCAGGTGAGCAGGGCCCTGCGGGCGGGCGCGGGGCGGCCGAGCCCCGACTGGGAGACGCGACGCGCTGAGGCCTCCGGCTGCTCCTCCGCTGCTCGCTCGCCGAGCCGTGCGCACCGCGGTGTCGGGCGCAGCGGGGCGGAGGGGTGGTGCGGGCTGGGCCACCGCTCCGGGACCGCCTCCGGAGAGGCCGGCGAGGGCGCGGGGGTCCCGGACGCGCTCCCGACCGGGCGCCCACCCCGGACCTCTGCCGGGGCTACTTCAATGTCATGGGCCAGTGGGACCCGCCGTTCACTCGCAGCTCGGCGACTTCGTCTTCTGCCGCGGGACTCGTGGCTTCCGGTTCTGCTGCAGAGTAAGAAGCGGCGACCGAACCAGAGCACCGGCACCAGCTACGACAGGCCGCCGTGGCTCCACACTGGAGCCCCCCCCCCTCCGCCCGCGCAAGGACGACCCCCGGCACGACCTCACCGAGGACAAGCCCAGCCTCGTCGTTCCCATCATCTGCGGGGCGGTGGCCGTCACGGTGCGTGGAGGCATCTTCACCAAGCTGGGGCTGGAGAAAGCGCCCCGGCAGCAGAGGGAGCGCAGGTCCAGGTGGGCTGCCCCCCCCCCGCCCCGCCGCCTCCCCCCCCTCCACCCCCCCCCCCCCCTCCCCCTCCCCCCCCCCCCCCCGCGGGGCCAGGGTCTCCCCTGGCGCAATATGCCCCATTGCAGGGGTTCCTTGGACTCCTAGGGCAGGGGCCCCTCCAGCCCCCCCCCCCCCCCGCTCCCCTGATTCTTCAGCTCCCCCGGTCGCCTTATTCATTATGGAAGTCCCAGCGCCAGCAAGTCGCGGTAGATGGGAGAAGGCGTTTGGGGATTAATGGAGCTATTTTCCTTTTGATTTTTAAAAAAGTGTCTTAATTGATTCACACAACCCGTAACTTTGGAGGCGGAGGACTCCCCTGGCGCAATATGCCCCATTGCAGGGGTTCCTTGGACTCCTAGGGCAGGGGCCCCTCCAGCCCCCCCCCCCCCCCGCTCCCCTGATTCTTCAGCTCCCCCGGTCGCCTTATTCATTATGGAAGTCCCAGCGCCAGCAAGTCGCGGTAGATGGGAGAAGGCGTTTGGGGATTAATGGAGCTATTTTCCTTTTGATTTTTAAAAAAGTGTCTTAATTGATTCACACAACCCGTAACTTTGGAGGCGGAGGACTCCCCTGGCGCAATATGCCCCATTGCAGGGGTTCCTTGGACTCCTAGGGCAGGGGCCCCTCCAGCCCCCCCCCCCCCCCGCTCCCCTGATTCTTCAGCTCCCCCGGTCGCCTTATTCATTATGGAAGTCCCAGCGCCAGCAAGTCGCGGTAGATGGGAGAAGGCGTTTGGGGATTAATGGAGCTATTTTCCTTTTGATTTTTAAAAAAGTGTCTTAATTGATTCACACAACCCGTAACTTTGGAGGCGGAGGACTCAGCCCCTGGGACGCAGCTCCCAGACGGGGCGCGGGCCGGGCTGCGGGGGTCTCGGAACAGCTGGATGGCGGGGCGCGGGCGAGCTCTGTGTTCTTGCCGCGTTTGGGCAACGGCCGCCATGTGCCCCCCCCCCCCACACTCTCCCCACACCTCTGGCGGGGGTCCATGTGTGCCTCCGTGGGTACAGGTGCTCGGCTCCGTGCACCTGCCTAAAATATTCTGAACAAAGAGACCCGCCAAAAATAGGGGAAGAAACATTACCACCTCACTAGTAATTATTTTCTATTTATACACAGAGTATCCGATGATTTTTTTTCGCAGAGGGGAGGGATTTGGGGCAAGAGGTGAGGAAGTTCCTCTTGGCTGAGTCAGCAGGGAGGTGTGGGTGGGTGTCGGGGTCTCAGGCAGCTTCCAGGGGCTGCAGGAAGCCCTGACCAACTGAGGAAGTAACTCGCGGGCCGCGCCCACCTTCTGCACCTTCGAGCCGAGTCTCACTTCCCTGCAGTCCCCACCGGTCCCTGTAGCTTCTCTGGGTCTGGGTTACGGTGAAGCAAGAGTACTGAGGCAGGACTGCAGCAGGCGGCGGGTATGGCCTTGGTAGGGAGAGAGTCACCCATGGATAGGTAGGCTGCCTTGCAGATCCGGGTTACTTCCTCTGCTGAAGAATCCACTGAGCCTTTCCCTGGCAAACCAGCGCTTATGGGAGCCCTCCGGGGTGTTTGGGCGGGGGTGGAGGGAGATAGGAAAGGCAGGAGAAGGGGAGGTGTGATCTGGGTGTGCAGACACCTGAGACAGCACTCCACTCCTGACCTAAGGGCCCAGGAGGGACATTCCTGTCCTGCCGCCTTGCAGCTCTGTCTGGAGAAAAATACTTCCCCCAGGTTCTTTGGTTGTAACCACTTCTGCAGGGTCCATGAAAGGGCTGCTTGGGGTGGAGTCGTGGGGCACCCAGTCCTCTGCTACAGAGACTGGACAGGGGGCTCTCCTGGTTCACATTCTGGGAATTGCAGAGTGCGGTGCACGCACATCCTCTCGAAGAGAAAGGATAGGAGATTTTTACTGGCAGTTTCCACATGTGGTTTCCAACCCCAGGTGCTGTTTAGGACCACTTGGAGTGCTTTAAAAAAAATTCTGTTGATAGAGACCCAGCCCTCGACAATTGAGATCAGGATCTCTAGGGTTGCTGAGTCTCTGTACTAAGCTCTCTAGCCTTTCCAGTGTGTGGTCAATCACTATTCTGGAAAAGGAAGGAGCATTTGCCAGGCACCACGCTAGGGGGTGTGTGTGTGTGTACGGGTGTACTCATGTGCATGTGAGTCTAAACACTCCTTTAGTGTGCACTGCAGACTTAAGAGACAGGTGCTATCAATTCCCACTTAGGAGAAAATCACAGCTCAGGTTGGGTGGCTTCTCCAAGGTCACACAGTTATAAAACTGCAGTCCCCGCACCCTGGTTTCAACTGTGTTTTCAGTTTGAGTGAGCATTGTGTGGGGGTGGGGGTTTCCTCAACTGCACATTCTTGTGTTCTGTCTGGAAAGATTCTGGGTCAATAAAGGTCTGAGATGAGTCCCAGAAATCCACAGGGAGCAGCCTCCCTGAATGGCAGGTCAAAAGTGACCTTGACGTTCTTGAGGAAGACTGTTCTTGAGTTTGGGTCTATTTGACCGTCTTGGGAGATGAATGCATTAATCCAACGCCACTCTCTTATTTGCATTTGATTGTGTGTTTTCTGCACATATTTCTGCTTTGTGTATTTGTGGTGCTGGGGGGCTGATCCAAGGATCGTCAAGATGCATGTTGCACTGTGTATGCAGTTAAACATGTCAAGTCCCCAGTCACAGGGGAGGGGGTACCTGGGTGGGGTACACCCAGCTACCTGAGAGCTTCCGGGTGAAATTAACATCTCAGCCACAGCCTCTTAATTTATTTTGTCTTGGGCTGTGCAGGTCACTGAGGTGAGGGGTTCATTCTCATTTCATCGGAAACCACTCCCACAGTCACCACCTGCTCCTGGTGCCCTGTGCACTTGTGGTAACCCTGCAGAGGCCTCCATGATGGCGGTTTTCAGACCCAGAGTCTTGGACATGTTGCCTGCTCCCTTCTGGGCTGACTGGGACCTGAAAACAGGAGAAAGTCAGGAATTCTTGCCGGGGTTTTGCCCACAATATTGGAAAAATTTCAGTTCAGCTGATTCTTGGGTTGTCCATTCTATGGGATTGGACACATTTATGATGACATGTGTCTACCATTATAGGATCATACCCACTAGTTTCACTGCGCTAAACATCCTCTGTGCTGCACCTGCTCATCCCCCCCCCCCCCCCCCCCCCCCCCCCCCCGCCGTAAGCCCTGGCTGTCACTGACCTCTTCCCTGTTTCCTTCATTTTGCCTTGGCTAGAATGTCATCTAGTTGGAATGATACAATATGTAGCCTCTTCATACTGGCTTCTTCTTGCACTTAATAACATCTGTTTAGGTTTCCTTCATGTCTTTTCGGAGCTTCATAGCTTCTTTCTTGACACCTCTAACTAATATTCCATTGTTAGCTATACCACAGTTTACTTATTCATTCAGCTATTAACAGATATTTTGGTGAAGTCGCACTTTTGGAAATGATGAATAAAACTGTTCTAAAGATCTGTGTACAGGTTTTTGTGTGAATAAAAGTTTTCCACTGTTTGGATAAATACTAAGGAGCACAATCCTTGGACTGTAGGGGAAGAGTTTTGTTAAGAACATCTGAACTGTCTGCAAAACGGCTGTACCATTATGTGTTCCCGCCATTCGAACATGTGTAGTGGTATCTCACTGTTGTTTTATTTTATTATTTTTGTAATGTTTATTTGTGAGAGACAGACCAGGGGAAGTGCATGGTGAAGGGTGAGGACAGAGAATCCAAAGCAGGCTCTGTGCTGACAGCAGTGATGTGGGTCTTGAGCTCGAGAACCATGAGATCATGACTTGAGCCAAAGCTAGATGCTCAACCCAATGAGCCACCCAGGTGCTCCCTCTCAGTAGTTTTAATTTGCATTTCCCTTGTGACATATGATGTCTAGCACATTTTCATTGCTTATTTGCCATCTGTATGTCTTTCTGGTGTCGTGTCTGAAAAGGTCATTGCCCCATTTGTCAATTAGGTTGTTTTCATTCCGTTGACTTTGAAGAGTTCTTTGTGTATTTTGATTAACAGTCCTTTATAGGTGTGTTTTTTGCAAATCTTTTATCCTGGTCTGTGGTTTCTCATTTTGTTCTTTGGCTGAGGGTGACTTCTTATTTTTTTGGCTCTTTAATATATGGTTTGAGTCATTCAAGTCCAATACTTCATAGTATGGTCTTAGGGGAAAAGAGCTAAACTTGTTTGAGAATTTGCCCTGGAAAAACTCAGTGTACTTAAGCTTACTTTGTATTTAATAACATTGAAGCCATAGTTGTAACTATTTGCTCATTCCTGGCATTAACATATACTGAGTCAAGTGTTGTTTTTCCTTTTATTTAGTAAACATTTAGTTTTAAACCAGACAGTTGGTTGGCACTCACCCTGAGCCTCCACTCTGGTTCTACACTGCAGGTGGTGAAGACATTTATTGTCCCGACTCCAGAATTCCTCTCCCATGACCTGGACCATCTTATCCAGGAGCTGTGGCAGGATGTGAAGTCAGTTAGAGTCCCATCTAAGTACCTGAGGAAGGTGACTGAGGGCAGATGGATGGGATCTATTCCCCCGCAGTGGTTCAGAGGTGCTCTGCTGCCCCAAATCCCCTGGGGTGGTTGGAGCAAGGCTCATGTAGCTGGCAGAATGAGCATTTTTCTCTACAGAAGAAGCATTTAACTTAGGGGTTTCAGGGAGCCAACTTAATCAGATGGAATCTCTATCCTTTGTCAGAAAACCAAAACTAAAAGGAAATCATGGCTGGCAGGTTAATCCAAAAGAAAAACTCACAAAAGTGCCTACAGATATCCAAGAAGGTTATTTGTAATCTTTGAAAACTGAAAAAGAGATTCCAGTGGACAACTGCCACACTTCTTCAAAACATTATTTGTAGTAAGAAATACATTCTAAATTGCAATGCAATACACATATAGATACATTACAGATAAAAGTTAATGAAGTCCTATGTATGCTAGCATCCAATACATTCTTATGGTTGTTATTCTGCTTCATTTGTTTTCAATGCCATCTTCAACCTGTGGAGATTTCTAGCTTGAGAAATGATTAAATCATAGTATTTGATGTTTCTATAATTTAAAAAGATAACTGCAGATCTCTAATTTGTAACAATAAAATGTTACAACAATATCTTATTAAGAGAAAAAAGCGGGCTGTCAATGAACCTACATAACATCCCATTCACTGAAACACAGTTTGAAAGGATACATATGCCAAAAAATTTGACCTTTCCTTCTTTTGTAGTAATACATTGCTGCATTTTCTGAATGTTTACAAGAAGGACATAATGCAATACAGCTAACATTTATTGAGCATTCACTGTGTGTGCCAGGCCCTGGACTCAAAGCTTTACATGTTTTATTATTTCACGTAATCCCCTTCAAACATGAGATGGTGTAACCATCCATTTTATGGAGCGGAAATGGAGGCTCAGAGACTCCCATGTAAGTTGCCTGAAGTTGGAGTAAATAAAA